TTGGCTCCTAGATATGCATCAACCTTGGCACGAAAGTTATCGATATATTCGAGCAGATCCTTGGTTGATCCTTGAGCTAAATCAGTGATTTCACTACGTAACATTAATTTAACTGATTCTGAGTTACTAATGTGATAATCACGAACTGTCTTCCAGAGCAAAGATGGGGAAGGAGGAGTATTCTTGATGCCATTCTCAAAGGTAGAAATCATGGACACGAATCGAGTGGATTGAGTGGTCTCCATATTTGCTAATAACCAATGGAAGATACTCTTCTTTGTGGCGAGTATGACTTCTGGGTCTGAGATGTTAGTTTGGACATTTTCCTCGTTCAGGTACTGGTCGTAAGATGCAGAAGCTAATCCAAATCTAATGTCATCAGACCACGGGTTATAATTGGAAGTTGATAACTTGGTACTAATGATAATCTTATGTAGTATAGAGTTGACTTTAGAGGATTGCTTTTGAGCAGGAGTATCGGCATCAATAGGAACAGTAGCCATGCCTGGAACGGTTGTCTGTGCTGAATGGACTGTGGAATTTGAAGTCTCTGATTGACTTTCACTTGGGTTCTCGGCGTCACTCTCGTCGAGATTGCTGAATGGAGCTGGGGTAGAAGCAGGAGTTGGCAGTTGATCTAGGGAATCGAGGTCTTCTCTATTTGACATGCGGTTTGTGTTTCGAATAAGATAACAAAGAGCTGAACTAGACTCCCGCTACCATGAAAAGCGACAAAGCGCGTCTGATGATGACCTGTTAATCCCAAGGACGATTCTCGAGGTGAGTCTCGATTCACCTCACGTCTTATACTACCTGACTAACTAACCTGTTAATCCCAAGGACGATTCTCGAGGTGAGTCTCCAATCACCTCACGTCTTATACTACCTGACTAACTAACCTATAGGTTCAAGTCAGGATATGATAAGTAAAGAAAAGAGTTCGACACAACTCAGTAAGTGGACTCTTTTCCTATACCGTAGATAGACGGATAATATTTCACCTGTTAATCCCAAGGACGATTCTCGAGGTGAGTCTCCAATCACCTCACGTCTTATACTACCTGACTAACTAACCTACAGAGATCAAGCACAACCATACAATAATAGAAGTAGAAAAAGAGTTAGATGAGATAAGAAATAAGACATTAGTGGATATTGTCTGACCTATAGGTTCAAGTCAGGATATGATAAGTAAAGAAAAGAGTTCGACACAACTCAGTAAGTGGACCTAGTGTCGACATAGTATCAGATTGATATAGAGACAAGAAATAAAAGAAAAGGTCAACAAGGTGAAGTAGAGTTGAATATTGTTGATGATAAGAAGGGACTCACTCTTTTCCTATACCGTACAGTGGGTCTCATCAAAGCCCAACTACCCCCCCGTAGGGGGGGTTCGAAATTTTGGCCTCTGAGGACCTCAAAAATCAGTGAAAAAAGTCATTTTCACCGTGCGATTTGACTGATCTGGGGTTGGATTCCGCTTCGGGAACCCACTTTTACCAAGTTTAAAGCCATATATTACCCTCTGGTACCCATATAGTAAGCCTAAGGATGTGTTTAAATGTGCTTGGTTTGAAATATTGCCCAAATGTCTAAAAAAAAAATTTTTTGCCTTGCACGCATCCATCCTCATAGGATTAGAATGAGATAGGTCCTCCGAGCCCATTAAGCTTATTAAAATGTGTGCTATGTAATTATGAGGTGTGTATAATTCATCTCGAACTTGAAATTTTGCTTTGCGGGCGCGGGGTAGTTGGGCTTTGATGAGACCCACTGTAGATAGACGGATAAGGAAAAGAGGGAGTGAACACGCGTCGGGATAAAGGCGCAATTCAAATAGGAACCAGTTAGGGTTGATGATTTAAGTTTAAGTTCTATATAAAATCTTGGGATTACTCAATTGAGTTCTGAGTGGCTTGAGATATGTACGGAAGCCGTGACGTGAAGTGACCGCCACCGTTTTTTCAAAACTTCGGTTTTTGGTTTTTGGTTTTCGGTTTTTGGAATTTGGGCATGTCCTTCAATTTTTGATACACACCACGGGCTACCATCACCGAGAACACCAACTGACACCATCACCACCACCAAGGGTTTATTCCACACTCGTATTTTCACTCAGCACCCACCACCGAGCATTTTTTCCACATCTGTCTTTTCACCACCAGCTAGCTATGTACAAACATCACCACCCACCACCGAGCTATCTTTTCACACTTGTCTTTTCACCAATCTAGCTATCACCACCACCACCCAGCTTGAGTATCTTTTATCAAAGTCCAGACTTGTTTCAATTATCACTCACTCAATCAACTTGGTATCATTTACAGTCAATAAACTTGTAATCAACTTGGTATCATTCACAGTCAATAAACTTGTAATCAACTTGGTATCATTTACAGTCACAAATCACCTTACCCCTCAATCAATCAACAACCTTTCTGATCAAAGAAACTGTTGGTTTTCCAAATAGGTTGAATTTTGAGGAGGTGATTGTCAAGATCAACCTCAATTGTTTGAGAACTCAGAATAATCAAAAATACTTGGCATACATTTTTTAAAACAGCCTCATGATTGAAATGTCGTAAGTTGTGTAAAACAATCAATAAGTAAGTGATACAAACTCTGTGAAATGATCAGGTTCCAGATTGTAATCACCATGATTTGTGATTATACTCTTTGCAATTTGAAGATACTTATGTAAATTTTTTGTTCAGATGAGGGCCAGCCAATTCAGCATTTTGATGTGTAGTTAGTGTAAGAATTAATGGATCGATAAGAAGTTAAAGAAGAAACTTCAAAGGTGAACACAATGAGTGTTGAGATAAGAGCTTTCAGAGTTAGTTGTGATGTGTAGTAGGATCGAGTGGATCAATTTTTTGTTGAGATAAGAGCAAGCCGATGGAGCTTTTTGATGCAATGGGTAGTTTAAACATTAGTGGTTCGATATGAAGTTGACGAAGAAATTTAAAAGGTTAACACAACAGGTGTTGAGATAAGAGCTCGCCAATTCGACTGTGATGTGTAGTAGGATCTATTAGTTTAATTTGAACTACAATACTTTGGTATTGATTGATACGATTGAAGTTGATAAGATTTGAGATGTGGTTTGATTGAGTCAAAGTCTGGATATTTGAAGGCACAAGAGTTGAATCGGTCGAGCAGTTTGACCGACTCACTGTAAATTGAGAGGGAGGCATGGTTGCTTTTCAAAAAAATTGAAGGAAATGCCCAAATTCCAAAAACCGAAAACCGAAAACCGAAAACCGAAAACCGAAAACCGAAGTTTTGAAAAAACGGTGGCGGTCACTTCACGTCACGGCTTCCGTAGATATATAATGTACTGTAACTATCACTATCACGGATCTGAAACACCGGTTATGAGAGAAGGTGGATCTCAACAGCACATTGTTGCATCCAGCTTCTTTATTTTGTTTGCCACATTGCAAGTGAGCAGTTTGCTTGGGGATTTGTGCAGGTTTAGGCTTTTTGCTGTTTTGATTGGTCTGTGGTTTTTGATAGCCAACAACGTTGCCATTTAATTTCTTTTGTTTCAAGTGCTGGACTTTTGGAGCTTCAATGTGTGCATTCTTATGATAGACTGGCCAGAGGGAGCCTTTCAGGATTTTTCTTCATATTCAGCTTTGTCTTCATTGTTGGCCAAGTTGTTCTCAATCAACCAAAGCACTCTGAGCTCATTCTTCTCAACTTGATCAAGTAAATAGGTGGCTTCCTCCTCAACCAGATAAAGTGCATCATTGCCTTCCTCTTCAACTGAGTCAAGTAAATCTGTGGCTCAACAGGATCATGTGATCTGATGGTTTTTTTGGGATCAACAAAGACTCTAGCTTCATTATCATCATCCAAGGGACCTTTGTGTGAGTCAGAGTCACCTATCTTGATAGGTTCAGGGCTAGAAGCCAGATCCTTTTGACAGATTTCATTTGCCTTTTGGGCTCTTTGCTCTTGCTGGGCACTCTTGGCTGCCAAACTTTTCAGATCATGTTGCTTTGCCTCACTTTGTGATTGTTCTCTTTGAGCCCTCATAACAGCTGAGACAACCATGTTGATATTAAGATGAATTGTGGTATAACTGGGGTGGATGTTTGGAGGGGGTGCCACGTGGAGTGAAATTGATAGAAAATTTAGGCTCACAAAAATCAAAAACATAGAAAATTTTGGAACATCAGACCTATGCGGGGCAGATTGTTACACGGTCTCCGGTTTGCCCACTATATGGTATTGTATTGCATCCAAAGATAGCAAGAAGAGTTATATCACTGTAACCCAAACTCCCTGAGAGTCTGATGAAAATAACAGTGGTTTTGACAAAACCAATGGGAGAACCATGATTACACGATTCAAGATGTAAGGCATAAATGGACACCCTTTCCGTCAAGAACTGTGCCTGCGACTTGGGTTGCACCAAAAATATATATAGGTGTATGATCTTTTTTAGAAAACAAACTTGAACAGAGATTAGACCTTTGGAAACGTGATGGCATACCGGGTCTTTCGAAAATGATTGAGCTTTTTCTCTTGATTGTGTTGCTGTAGTCAACAAATCGGTCTTTGAGGACCAAAGCTTCCAAGCTTTACTCCAAAGTATGCTACAGGCCATGTACTTTCAAAGATTATGACCGAAGGAGTTGGCATGCATCCGAGTTCAAGCTATGTGGTGTTACAATTGTACAAGACTGAAAGGTGTGGAAAGCATATACAATCAAAGAGAGAGGGTCTCAGAGATGAGTGTTATCGGAGGATGAGATCCATCATGAAAGGCTAGCTTGAGGAGTTGCTAAGATCAATTTAGGACCACCATACTTGGACAATTCATTGGAAACGGTGTACGTTCTGTACTCTGTGTTACCCCAAGGCTAAACCGGGAAAGTAGATAACAGAAGAAAACTTGAGTCAGGTGCGGCTGTTAGATGAGTGCTGACAGTGGCTCAAAAGCTCAAAGAAATGCTGTACGAGCTTACTTCATCGCCAGCATAGTCTTCCGTTATATATCTCAATGCACCGCCGTGAGAGACGACGACAATTTCTTCTTCGGGTCGCGCAGCAAGCCACGTCCGCGTCCATCCCGCTCGGTGTTTCAAGGAATGCTTGTCGGATGACCAGACGCCAGATTTGGAATTCCATCCGTCAGCTAGCAGACTAAAGTCGATACCCTCAAATTCCTTGTCCCCCTCCAGCTCCGAACGTGAGCTACCTGTATCGGCAGGCGAACATCCGTTCTCTTGAAGTTGTGGCAGCGCAATAATGGCACTGCGACCACCTAGTTTATGTATGAGTTGGGGGAAGCCTATCAAGGTTGTCTGAAGCGTGCGTCGTAAGGGGGATGTTACTAGGAGTTGGGCAGATTTCTGTATGTTCATTGAAGTCCTTTCATTCAATCCGATGCATTGTTCTTTGCCGGTAGGTGTTAAGGCCGCATCTGGAAAACTATGATTGTCAAAGTCGACGCTGGTAAAACAAAAATATCACACGTCAATGTTTTGCTCTACGAAGGCAATGAGTGTGATTGGATTACTTATGATCGGCTTGCGCGTGTCGAACGAGATAGATTCGCTTGGAGCTCATGTTGATATTCGCTGAGGAGGTGAGGTTGAAAAGTGGAAGGGTTCCTGAGTGGAGATCTGTGGAGATCAGACCGTTGCTTGAAATGCTGAGGGACCTTGAAGAGTGCAGCCCCGAGGAAGTGAGTCGATCAGGTGCGGTAGGCCGGAGGATCCGGGGAACCGCTGAAACCGCGCTGAGACTCTGGGAATCCTGGCTAGACCCATGAGCTATGGGTTTACACGAACCCTTATCAGCCACCTAGCGCGGACACAGAGCCCTAGTCAAAAACCTTTTGACCTTTAAATCAAGAGTAAAACCAACCTGC